GTCTGATGTAAAGGGGGTCTTTTGATGTGAAAGGGGGCTTCTGATATGAAGAGGGCTGCTTATGTGATCCCGATCCCTATGTGGACTAAGGGTCTGGTATAGATTTTGAAGGTGCAACATGTCATTTTTTTACATTTGTTTGTTACATTGTAGACTGGGGTGCCTAGAGATTTTGCATACTTTTAAAGGGTGCCGAAACTAAAAATAGTTTAGGAAATGCTGCCCTAGACTGTCATGTCCTGTCTTCAGCTATTATAGAGCTGCAGTCTTCAAAAATACTCCATCTACTACTGTGGAACCACAAACATTCACACAACATTAACACAAAATGCTAAATATATATTTTTTCTTTATATGTTTGTGGAAAATAAAAGGGACATAATTTACAGTGAGGCTAAACAAAGGGAGAAGCTTAGGGAGCCAGAATTTCTTTGCCCACAGGCACAGGTATAAATCCAGCACTTGTAGTCACAATAACAATCGTCATCTCTTTCATGAGGAAAGTCCCTTGGGGTTTTATATTGCAAAGATCCAAAAGGTGATTTTTTTTTAATTGATAATGCAGTTCCCACAATCTTTCTCAGTCTTAGATGTTGTCCCCTGGCTGATACTGAGGCTCAGTGGCTGTAAAATAATCTTCCAGAAAGGACTGCATGTACTCAAATGTTGGCCGTTCCTCCGGGTCACCCTTCCAGCATTGCAGCATAATGTCGTAAAGAGATGGGGGACACCCTGGAGGGCAGGGCATACGGTACCCTTTTTCCACCTGCTCAAGCACTTCTCTATTATTCATTCCTAGTGTAGAAATAAAATAAGCAACAGTTATCTAAGGGGAAGGATTAAAAAGAAATACAGGCAGATCTATAGGGGGAGAGTTGTTTTTATAAACATCTAAATGTGGGCTTACTCATACTTAAAACTGTATGCTATCTGTACATATCCATCTATTAGTGTGTTTTTCAAGTATAGCTGTGTATCTGTTACATTACACTAAGCTCCCCGGATCCTGTTGCCTAGCAGATTTTTTTTTTTTTGCACCTGGATACGGAATTCTTCCCTTCGTCACCAGCTCAGACACCATGATTCCGAATGACCACACATCAGATTTTATAGTGAATCTGCCATACATGGCTGCTTCTGGAGCTGTCCATTTGATGGGAAATTTGGCACCTGTTTGAAAGCATAGTGATAAGAAAGAAAAATACACAGTTACATCAATAATTAAGGTGCTTGCATTAGTTGCATTGAAAGAAAGGGCATTGCATTTTGTATACTGATCCTATGTGAACATCAAGATACGCTGATTTATACTGCAGAAATGTAAGGCCTCAACTGGACACTGCAGTGTGCATAATGATATACTGTATGTGACATTACCCTTAACTAGCTATTCAGGGATTGAACTTTGTCATTTTCCTGCTGAATTGGCCAAAAGATCCGTGGGTGGCCCTGTCTTACCACTCAGCTCCACACAAGTCGATTCTTCAATTGAGTCACTGCAGTCACTGTTCTGGTATTCTGACACCTGCGGGTGCCAGAAAACAATAGCTGACAGGGGAAATTTGTCCATCTATGCTCTTTATCGTGGACTGGGGAATTCAATGATTTCTCTCAATCAGTCCTTGGGGCTTAACAAGAAAAATCTTATGGTGGACGGGCAGCTTAACTCTTTGATAACTGTACCCAATCATAATATAGCCAAGGATACCTTAAACTTCTGTGTGTTTTGCTTGCATCTTGGGCTTATTTTTATAGAAATCGTGCATAACTTATTTTCAGTTCCATCTTGGGACCTATATGCAATATGTGCTTCTGAAAATACCGCTGCTATTTGTCTGGGTTTTATGCATGCCATAAGTACATAAAAAGGGCCTCCTGCATATATTTATACTATTTAGAGTTAAGGAAATGTAAACTAAAAACAAAAATGTAAGTAAGCCAGTTATAGGAATATGGGGGCTACCACTGCCAGCCAGAGCATGTGCCCTTCAACAAGAGACAGCAACTTTAGAGAGTGCTCCCTCCCTGATGCAGGTACCTTCATCACCGGCTGCTTACAGCCAGAGCATCGCTGTCCCTCTATTATTATTATTATTATGCAGGATTTATATAACGCCAACAGTTTGCGCAGCACTTTACAATATAGGGAAGACATTACAATCACAATACAATTCAAGACAAGATGGTAAGGAGGGCCCTGCCCAACTATTGACCTTCTAGGTTTAGTAAGTGATGTCACATCTGAACTACCACCAGGCTTCAGTTCACATATGGGCTACAGCATCCTCGAGGTGGTAAGAGGCTCTGAATGGTACTGTAACAATTCAGGTAAGCTTGGCAGCCCTGCTCAAAGAGTATACAATAAGTGCAAGAGGGCAAACAGATAGGGACAAAGGGGGCAGACTCCCAATCCCACATGCCCAGGCAGACCACCAGAGCCAAAGCCAAACTTTCTACCCCCAGGTGGTATTATTAGCTTGCTCTGTAAATGAGTGGCACCAGAACAGAACCGTGATAGACAAATATGTCATATTGATGTGGCGATGCTGTGCTGTATGTTCTACATTCCACACTGTCCCACTCTATATGCTGTGCTGTATGTTCTATTCCACACTGCCCCACTCTATATGCTGTGCTGTATGTTCTATATTCCACACTGCCCCACTCTATATGCTGTGCTTTATGTTCTATATTCGACACTGCCCCACTCTACATTCTGTGTTGTATGTTCTACATTCCACACTGCCCCACTCTATATTCTGTGCTGTATGTTCTACATTCCCACTGTCCCACTCTATATGCTGTGCTTTATGTTCTATATTCGACACTGCCCCACTCTACATTCTGTGTTGTATGTTCTACATTCCACACTGCCCCACTCTATATTCTGTGCTGTATGTTCTACATCCCCACTGTCCCACTCTAAATGCTGTGCTGTATGTTCTATTTTCCACACTGCCCCACTCTATATGCTGTGCTGTATGTTCTACATTCCACACTGCCCCACTCTATATTCTGTGCTGTAGGTTCTATATTTGACACTGCCCCACTCTATATGCTGTGCTGTATGTTCTACATTCCACACTGCCCCACTCTATATGCTGTGTTGTATGTTCTACATTCCACACTACCCCACTATATATTCTGTGCTGTACGTTCTACATTCCACACTGTCCCGCTCTATATGCTGTGCTGTATGTTCTACATTCCACACTGCCCCACTCTATATGCTGTGCTGTATGTTCTACATTCCACACTACCCCACTCTATATGCTGTGCTGTATGTTCTACATTCCACACTACCCCACTCTATATGCTGTGTTGCATGTTCTACATTCCACACTACCCCACTCAGTCATGGACTGAGAGCCCAACAGTGTCAGGAGAGAGGAGGGGATCCAGAGGCATACCTCATCCCGCCGGGTGAACGTCCCCTCCTCTCTCTGCTGGCGTCCAGCACCAAGATGGCCGCCGGCAGGCGTCAATCAGATGGCCGCGCAAGCGCGATGACGACACTGCGGGGTGTCACCCAGTCTGGAGACTGGGTGACACCCGGTCTTGGGACGTCCCTGCTGAAATGCTGGTGTATTTTTTCTGGCTTCTTGATTGAAAAGCATGGAAGGAAGAAGATCAGCGTCACAGCAAGACAAGTATTTTCAGCAATGGCAGCCTCTATGTTCATATCCTGTTTTAATTGTATTGTAACTGTACTGCCTTCCATTCATTTGTATGAGCTCTGCAAACTGTTGGCGCTGTATAAATCATGTATAATAATAGCAATAATAATAATGCAGAATATTAAGCTTTATGAAAACATAAATACTGTGTACATGTTGTTAAGATTCATTAGTATGAATGGGCTCCAAGGATCAAGAAACAAACACAATGGTGAGACACAGTGACAAAAGTCCGTATTTGGCCAGATTTGATGACAGTTTCATGTTTAGGTGCCCTGCACACAACCACTTATTGCTCCGGGGGAAAAGTTGGCTGCTCAGGTTTGAAGACTTGAAGACTTACTCCATTGACTATTGTTTCTTTTGTGATAAGCAGCATCGGTAACATCTGCCAGTTCCACCCTCCTCCTTCCTGCCTTCACGTATGACAAATATTGGCTGCACTGAATGGTTATGTTTGTGACTGTTGTCCAAGGACAGTCAGATCGTGCAAGTACATTCAGCTCACCTTAAAAGTATTTCCCTTTTAAGTTTTTCTTAAACTGAATATTCCTATAGGAAGAGGGTTAGGGATTACTGTTTAACATAATGTACCCTGTCTGTACTGTGCTGACAGATCTCATTATCAGTTTTAAACCTAGTTTTGAACACTGTCTGTCCTTAAAAAGTATTAGAATGACTGCAGTGCAGCTTTGTGCACTTTTGATGCATCTGCGGCATGAACAATCTCTCTTCTTCTTTACTGTTTGATTGGGACTGGGCGTGTCATTTGAGGAGATGGGTGAGTAGGGTGCAATATTGTATTCTTTGTATTGTTGTTTATACTTTTTGTTACTTGTTTATGGTTGTTGTTATATTTGGAAAACTTGTCAATACACATTTTAAATCAATACAAAGAAAAATCTCTGTTTTGAATGTTTTCGCATTAATTTTTATATTGTATGGACAAAGAATATGCATACGTAAACTACAAAAAACGTGCATATAATGGAAAACAATACACATTACTGCATATGCCCTGCATGTGCAATACCCCATACATCACATTTCATCTTACCTTCAGAACAGTCTTACATGGCTGCCTATTGGATGCTCTGAGTTGCTGTATTTTGCATTTTGTTCTGTTTCCTATTGCATACACTTGGTAGTATAATGTAGCCTGATCTTTCTTAATATGTTACTTAATTCTGTTTTAAACCTGCCTACTGAGGTTTCCTTGTCAGAGCTGGTGCAGTTCATCTACCCTCATCCTTCCTACAAACACTTTAAGTTTACCCAGAAGCCATCGCTGTTATCAACTTGAAATGGAGACCAAAAAGTGGAGAATAAATGAAATGTCATTACCCTGTCGAGCTGTGTATTCATTGTCTTCAATGAGACGAGCAAGGCCAAAGTCTGCAATCTTACAGATCAAGTAGTCCCCAACCAGAATATTGGCAGCTCTGAGGTCACGGTGAATATAATTCATTCGTTCAATATATGCCATGCCAGAAGCTATCTAAAAAAACGGAAACGATTTGGTCAGACGGATGAGGTTGACAGAGTGGGGTTGAGAGTCCTTGGCAAGTGAGAATTAAGTGGTCACATGTGCCAGGGAGTTCTAAAAGTAGAAACTAATATTGATGGAGAGTCTAAGTGAAGAAAGTAAGCAGAACCAGCTTCTGGGTAATGCTGGCCACACATACAATTATTTATTAACCAGTATAGCAAGCTTTTGAGCTTTCTGAATCCTTTACATGTGTGGACACTACTATAGTTCAAGAATATAATACAAATTACCAGCATGCTAAAAAAGACAATAGGGCAGCAGTTACTGAAGTCCAATATGCAGCTCAAATGATCCTTTCAGTGCATGTATTAATGAGCATATCAGCATTAGAAAATAATTACATTCTAAATAACCACAACTTACTTCTTTTTTTTTGCTATGAGTAAAAAAAGTTTTCCTTATATGACTTACAGTAAAGCTCAGCTTGTAAAGAAATCCCTCTGGTATCTCCTCCCTTCTCTAGTAAGCTGTGGTGCTGTGCCCTCTGGAGGTGTTATCCCAGGGGTGCCACAGAAACACTATGGATTTGGGACCACACTGTGTGCCATTGGCACAGGGTCAAGGCACTCCAGCCTTTTCTGCACAAAGCTTCTTGGGCAGGCCTTGCAGCCAAGATTAAAAAAAAAATGCCCCAGGCAAGCTGGAAGGCCTGCCCAAGAAGCTTTGTGCAGAAAAGACTGGAGTGCCTTGGCCTTGTGCCAGCGTGATGTTACTTATTTATAGCACTTAGCATGACACTTTTTACCCCACAGATGATGGAGGGTGTGGGTGCCTTTGGGGCCCACCCTGGTCTCTGGGGAGAGGCTCTGTGGTCCTCTTCAGGTCCTTTCCTTTCCCCAACCAATTACTTGGTAGACTGGCTTCAGCTGGTCCCTAAGGATCATCTGGTTTCGGTCTAATAGCTTATTGCCCTGGGGGTTCAGAAATTCGAGGCCCTTCCTCTTCAGAGGAGGACCACAACACCCTTGTGCACTTTTATCTGTTGTGTTATTTAACGCTTCACTTTCCTTGTTCACAAAGGATTGTTTTTGATGCACGCACTGCGGGGTCTAATGCTCATTAGGTCTAGGGGCTATAACATACCTTGCAGCACTAAGGCCCCTGGTTCAAATCCAGGTTCAGCCAAGACCCTGTCTGCATTGAGTCTGCATATTTTTGCTTTGCTTGCAGGGGTTTCCTCCCACCCACTGCTGGTGGGTTATTTGGCTCCTGTCTAAATTGGCCCTAGTATGTGTCCATGTGAAATAGGGACCTTAGACTGTAAGGTCCTTGAGGGCAGTGGCTGATTAGAATGAATACTATTTACATCGCTGCCAGGGCCAGATTTACTCTCCCTGCTGCCCCAAGGCCAGGTTCCGCAATTTTTTTTTTTTAAACTTTTTTTTTAATCAGGTGAGAGGGGAAGACTGCTCTCCCCTCTCACTGTGTACACGGAGTGAAAAGTAACCCTGCCTCTCTGCTCCCTGCATCGGCCGCAGGGACTCGAGACAGGAGAGAGACTCGGCGGCAGGGGAAGGACGGAGCCAGCGAGGAGAGAGTTAGATGCGGGGGGTGGGCGAATGGGTGAAGGGGAGGACGGACAGGCTGCAAACTTATTACAAGTGATCTTGGCGCCATCGCGGAGATCACTTGTAAACGCTTCCCTGTTCTACATTTAGCCCTGCTTGTGCAAAGCAGGACTAAGTGTAGAAAGCAACTTAGGCCCCATTTACACTGAGCGATTTATGGAGCAATTTTTGCAGCGATATCGCTCATATTTCCACGCGATATCGCTCTATGTAGCTTCTCCAATCTATTTCAATGGAGCTGTTCACATCTCGTCGCTCAATATCGCTCAATATCGCTTGTAGCTCGTCGCTGGTAGCTTGTCGCTCCTACATGTTCCTTTTTTAGAGCGATTTTGAGCGATATTGCTCCTGATTGCATACAGCCCAATAGGAAAAGTCGCGATAAGTCGCTCAATATCGCTCAATGTCGCTCAATGTCGCTCAAAGTCGCTCAAAGTTGCGTGATTTTCATGTCGCTCAGTGTGAATGGGGCCTTACCGCCCGGCACCCAGAGCTGTATGTTCCGGAATTTCACAGCACTGCCGCCTCTCTGCGCCCTGCCGCACCGAGGCCAGGCCTCGGTGGCCTTGTGGGGAATCCGGGCCTGAGCGCTGCATACATTGACGGTACTACAGTATATATAAACACCTATAGTAAATAAAACCGTATGCCTTGCTCCCCCCACTAGCAGCTCCCGAAAAGGAGGTGGGGCCCTGATGTACTCACATACAGTGTAGGACCACTGGTTCTGCATTGTATGTGATGACGTCGGTGAGGCTGCACGACTGGCGCAGTGGAGCGGCTTTGAGTGGAGAAATAAGGAAAGTATTTTTCTGGTACAGCCCCGATAACTTAGTGAGTTTATTAATACAGTACTTGAGACGGCGACAGCTACCAGAGGGTATTTTTTACAAGCTGACCGGAGTTCAACTTTAAGTCAAAGAAGGAAACAATTTTCACACACAGCAAAAAACTGCGTTGGGAACTGTTAGTTGTGCGTTGAATGCTTACTGGTAAAATTAGGATGTTTTGTACCACAAAATCTTTACACTGAGTTTAATAAAAGACAAAGCATTTCAATTACAGAGCTGCGGCAATATATACCCGCTACTGTCTAATTGCAGCACTGTGTCCCTCAATCAATGATAGAGAAATTAGGATTTTTTGCACTCAACGTAAATACCTTTTTTCCAAGTTTATTACATGACACATCACTGCAATGACAGACCTTTAAGTATATACTGCCACTCTAATTGCTGTGCTGTGGGCCTCAATGAATGATGGACAAAGAAAAATTGGATGTACAGTAGGTACTGTCTAGTGAAATCAGAAAACATTATTTTGAAAACAGAAGCTTTGAAAACAAAATAAACCAAACCAATTATTATTTACTATTAATGCATGTACAATGAAGGTGATTTAAAGTAAACATGTCATGAGATAACTATGGTTGCAACTGCCATTGCTGATCTCTTTCTGAAAATAAGAGTTACTTGGCTGCTATGCTGACCATACTGTCTTTAATACTTTGGGTTACTGACCCACAAGAAGTCAGGAGATAGGGAAAGTCAAAGAGGCATCAGAGGTCTTTAACTGCATACTTGCTCTGGGTCAGTGAATTAAACGAGAACTATGGGGTCAGTGTTTTTCCCCATAGTTCTCCTTAGGGTAACGGGAGGACACAAACTAGCGTCCTCCCGTTACCCTAAGCTCAGTATAGCGCGAGCTACAGCTCGCGCTATACTGAGACGTCGCAGCCGGAGCGGATCCCGACGTAGATGACGGGATCCGCCCAGCTGCGTGATTGACAGCTGGCTCTGCCTATCTAGAGTCAGAGCCAGCTGTACCCGCCCCCTCCCCCATCCGTTCCGCCAGTCAGCGCTGGCAGATCGGAGCGGGGAGAGGGGAATCCAGCCCTCCCCCTGTCACGGCAGAGAGCCGTGACAGGATCGAGAGGTGAGCGAACCTGGTATGTGTTCGCTCACCTCCCGATCTACTGAGCCGACCTGTGACAGTCTCATTGTCACAGGTCGGCTAGAACTATGAGGTGAGTGGAAATCACTCATCTCATAGTTCTCCTTTAAGTGCATTGAAGTTACAGCCTATGTCTAGGGTAAATAAAAAAAAACTCCCCTTGCAGAGGGGCTACACCTGCACTCCAAAAGTTAACTGCTCGTTTACGTCTAGAGCAGTGGTTCTTAACCTGTGTAACCTCAGGACCCACATTTGTCCTTGGCCATTAAGTCGCGACCCAAGGTGCACTGCAATGGAACACAAGGCACCGCGTGTTCCGCTGTGGGCGTACGAACTGTGGGTGGGAGGTGCGCTTGGGGCACCATTTAAACTAATTGCAACACAGAATGTGATGTCATTCTGGTACAGGCACCTCTACAACACACATGAGGGAGCTGCAAGCAATGCATGTGTGGATGGAGCTCCCTCGAGGCTATACCCCCAATACCATCTCAAGCTGACACTCGGCATAGGGCACAATATTTTGAATGGCTGCTTGGCTATAGAACTGGCTATAGAACTTGGCAATGGGGGGAGGCAGAGGAGCCTCTCACCTAGAAAAATGGAAGCCATGTGGTGACCCACTGAACACGGGGTCGCAACCCATATTTGGGTCACGGCCTACCAGTTGAGAACCAAGGGTCTGGGGTATCTGTGAAAAATCACTTTCCCCACTTCCCTGTCAGTCAGCGCTCACCTCATTTCTCCTACAGTCCTTCTTGTACACTGTCCCTCAGTGTCCTCACATATAATGAAGGTCTATGGGCCCTGCGCTCTATGTGATAATGTCCAAGGGGCCTCTGGAGTGGGGGGAACAGGTTACGTACGCTGGTCTTGGAGCATGTGGGAGCGGGGATTAGGTAAGTAAAAGTCCTTTACACAAGTACCCTAGACAGAAAAGAGCAGTTAACCCTTGCAATGCAGGGGTAGCCCTACATCAAGGGGTGTTTCTTAAGTTAAGTCTTAAGTTAAGTTGGGATTTAAGCAAAAAGGGCACTGAAGTGCATTGAAGGAAGTAGGTCAGCCTGACAGCCACGCAACTAGCAAATTCAGAAAAACAGGACAGTAGTGGAAGCATCCATGTTTTTTCATGGAACAAGATTAAAAAAACAAAGGCGTTGATTTTGTACAAACCACAGCATCCGTCAGTATATCGGACTAACTCTGCCTTATACTTTCTACATATTTACTTTCTCTTACATATCTATTTAAAATATTGTTTGAATACAATTATTTTCACAATCTCATCCTCCTGCTTGGGCACAAAAAAATAGTTGATCTTTTACGGGAGTACAGTGAACGCAGACCAGCATGCACCCCAAGTGAATAAAATCATGTCCTGGGCTCATAAAAAGTGGGTTAAATGGTTCTGGGCATAATTCAATATAGAATAGGACCAGCAATGGATCAGAGAGTGATGAGTCTGTGAAACAGCACCAGAGAGGAGGTGGAGGAGGTAAGTATTGCAGCCAGAGGTGCCTTTTTTTTTTTTTCTGCTGCAAGATCAATATTTTTTTTTTGTTACAAAAGTGGAGTGGGGCTTTAAATACATAAGGTCCTGTGAAAGTTGAGTTTGGGGTTACTAAATACCAATAGGATCTCTATTTTGTACAAGCAACACTACCTTATTTACTCTTACAATCTCGCTGTTACACCAGCATTATATTTGGCACAATGAGAATATTAATGTTTGCACATGTTGCCCTAACAGTGATAGAAACATTTAAATAGGTATATTGATTTATTTACTGTGCTAGTACTTCATTGCAGATTGTAGCGGCCTTTGTGAAAGCTGCTAATGTTTAGAATTGGCTTTGTGAGACTGAATCTGAGTGAATGTTTTGGCGGAGACCCTGGGCTTGATTGAGGCAGGAACATTAGAGGCACGAGAGACCTGTGGTTTACAGGCGTTACCCAATGCATTGGAACTGGAACTCTGTGTAAAAACCTGTACGAAAATTAATATGGAGATTGCCATTGTCCTCGCCTTTTGGAAATGCTAGTTGCCTAGCTGTCATGCTGCTCTAGTGGCTTCGATATCCTGAGTCACTGACCTTCATGAAGTGTGCAGATAATTGTGCAGATGTTGGTTTAAACAACTTTACAGTTTTGATCCCTTTTGTTGGTTCTGATCATTGAACCTTTGGTACTTGTTAGCCCTTTGCCCATTTAAATTCATAATATTTCATGTTATATGTTTTTTAATACCTTGATCAGGTTACACATTTGCTTTATTATGCAAATCTCAACTTCTGACATTGATCTTGGGCCTGCCCCATTCCCAACCTTATTGTTAGTGAGTAAGGAAGCCTGTCATAGTTATTGACCAATAACAAGGTGCTGCAATTGGCCCAAAACCTGAAAGGCGTCTGAAAGCACAAGAAGGTACGTTTAGCTGCCTGTTCTTAGGTACATGGTTGCATTAGTAGGTGTACAGTAACAAAGGTTCACTTTATGGGCATTAATGGATCACGAACATGCACTACATTGCATCAAAGAAAACATAAAGTTAAAGGGCAAAATGAAAAAACAAACATTTGCATCTCTCTAATACATGCCCATTGATTTAAAAAAACCTGCAAGCACAGATGAATGATTGTTGGTCTGTCAGAATACTAGTGTGATCCTAACTTCTTGTTTGGATTGACAGCACCGTACCTTTTCTGCACTGAAATCTCAGACTGCGTTGTCAGCCCTGTCTGCTGGACTACAGAACTCCTATCCCCCACCACTCTCTGTTTTTCTTAACATGCAAATGTTGATTTCTTAATCAGCAAATCAATGTTTCTGCATTGACTTCCAAAAGCCTGCCCAAAAACTTGAGGTCTTTGGGATATGTAGATCTGGGGTCATTTCTACATCAGTAGAAACTGAGCTTCCAGCACCTGTCCCTGCAAGAATTAGTAATGATGATGTCACAGTCAAAGCTGTCACAAGCTATGAGAGCAAAACAAAAGAAACAAATGAATGCTGCAACATGCTCTAGAAGGTTTGGGGGCGGTTTGGGTGTAAATTTGGGTAATGATTGAACATACCCGTTAACATTGTGTAACAGATGGAGAAGGAAATAGTGACTACAGGAAGAAGTAGTCTGGACTAGTGGGCATAAATTATAATTACACGGTACGAAATCCCACTAACCTGTGCCGACATGTCCACTAATTCTGGCAACTTTAAATATTGTCCATCCCCATCTTTCATGAATTCTAGCAGGCTTCCTGTAGAATAGAAAAAACTAAGAAAGTACACATCACAGCAGTAGGAGATTATAACTTACCATGTCATCATTTATACTGCTTCTATGCTAACCTGAAGTTCACAGCAGTTTTTAAAATTGTCCTATTCGCCACAGTAGAGAAAAAGGATAAGCCAGTTCATAGAGAGATTTTCCATCTAGCTGGAAGATCTCTCTGAGATAATGAGTACCTCTCACTCATTATAGCTCTAGGAATTCAGAAATGGCCAAAGATTCACAAGCGATGCTTGAAATCAAGAACCATCCTTGTAATGACGGTTCTATAAATCTGGTTACACATGTTACAATCACTGTATAGTCTACTTTAGATTTTCCAACAACTATCTAGTGTGAGCAACTACCTAAACAACCCATCCAATTGGTATCCAATCTTGTAGGCCACTACATAGTTGTTGGTAAACCTAAAGAAGGATTTACAGACTGTTTGTAGTACGTTTTAAATCCCATCTCGAGCTTTAAAGCCCAGGCAAACCAAAAAATGAACCTTGCAGTGGGTCTTGTTTATGCCTAGGGGACTGGAGTAAAGCACTTTTACTTACCTGACACCCATGCCCCCCCACCCGGCTTGCGGAATGTCCCTCCGTGTCCTCACATCTAATGTTGGAACCTGCATTAGACATGACTGGTGTTTAGAAGGTGAGAACTGTGGGAACTAGTCTAGTAGCCTAGAGGGATCTGGTGGGAGCGGTGATCCGGTTTGTAAACATGCACAAATCCCCTCCTGATCAGAGCAATACAGGTCCATGTCCGTTCATTCTTTTCCTCCATTTTGCAAAGGAGGAAAGAACTAAAACTGCCAGACCCCATGTCGATCTATGGGGAATCAGGTGTATATAGACATGTGTCCGTTTACATCAGATTGCCAGATCGGGGATAAAGTGGAACCCTGTTCCGTTTGTTTTTACGGACCTGGTCGGAGTCAGGGGTAACCTGGGGTGGATTCCCATCCACTTCCACCCGGCTGCTGAGGATTGGGTCCTCCTGAAAAACTGACAGACAGACCAGATTGGATCACCCGTGTGAAAAGGGCCTAATACTGTCATTTTTTTATTACTTCAGAAGCCCTCTAAGCTCCACTTATGGAGGCACAACAACAGAACTGGTGTTGTTCATAGACACTGTTCCAATGCAGCGGTGAGCCAGAAGCGCAGCTCCCCGCTGTACACATCAGCAACTCTCAGCAAAGCTCAGAGAAAACCTGAAGTAATACAAAAATGACATTGGTAATGTGTGAATTAAAGATTTGAAAACAGAAAAAAATAGCTGTGTCTGAAGTTCAGCTTTAAGGAGTTGATTTTTCATTCATTTGCCATTCAGATTTGCTTCTGCAGCTGAATGATCAAGATGAAAAGTAACTACCGTTTCTGAGACTAAATGTTATAAAACTGTGAATAATGAATGGAGTCATTTTGACAGTTTAAAGAAAAAATACCACTGAGGGACAATTTTCAGAACATCGGCCCCCAAAGGCCCCCTTTGCCATCAACTATAACCACACATCTCTGCGTGGGCACAGTTTTGTACAAGAGTAATGGACCTGGTGTATGAAAAATGTGTTAGCAGTAGAATTTTTGTTATCTGTAGCAACCAATTAGCTTTCAGTTATAATTTGTACAGTCCAATTAGTGAAGCTGATTGGTTGCAGTGAGCAACAAGAAATATAATCTTAAGCCCAGTTATACTCTACACTCATACGTTTAGCCCAATTTGTCCTTTGTGCATAATTAAACATTACGTTTCTGATTTTTCACTATATCCTGGGGACTAGATTGTATGCACTTTTTATGAATCTGTGCCTAGGTATGGAAAGGAACGATGGGTGAGAAGAAGCATGTGATAGAAAAGGGATACTTACGCATTTGAATGATGAGGAAAAACCCTTTGTGTCACAAAGGATATATTTAAAACAAAGAGCTTCTGAAATCACTTAATATAACCTATTAACAATTTGTGTCCATGACCAGAATTACACTATTCTGATGGACAGTGCAAAGCAGAATAGTGTAGCCGCATAGAAGCTAACAGCATAAGACTTCCTTAAGTTCTTGGCTGGGAGAGAGGTATATCAAATACTAAATGATCAATTAATAAAGGGGCACTTGAGCTACAAAACTTACCTTGTCCCATAAACTCAGTCACAATAAATATGGGTTCTTCAGAAACCACTGCATATAGCTGAACTAGTTTATCGTGGCGGAGCCTCTTCATTATCTGAGCCTCTTGTAAGAATGCTTCTGGGGACATTGTTCCTGGCTTGAGAGTCTTCACAGCTACCTTTGTTGACCCATTCCATGTTCCTTATAATTGTGAAGATATATAAGAGATATAACAATGCTTATGCACCCCTGTATATCAACTGTGATCAGCATTACATGATCACCATCTTACCAGCCAATTTCAATTAGATCAGAAAACTGTCGTAGGTCTAGGGATACTACTTGGCATTTCTGTGCAAACAACCCTGTAGCTGGACAAACTAAAGGATTTTACTTTTTCAGCTGGTCACTATTTTTCCACTGATAGAAGGCCAGCGCCAAGAATATATATGCAGTGTACTATATATATTATGCTATACAGGGGCATCCATAGCCTTTTCGCTGAGGCAGCTGCGGGAGGAGGAGGCAAGGTGCTGGTGGTGAAAGCTGTGGCTTGTGGTCTCTGCATCATCTCCTTACCCAGCTCGCTAGCGCCCCACCCAGTGACATCACTGGTTGCCAGGAGCTGAGTGGGACGCCAGCCAGAGTCCTAGGTTGCTAAGACCTGGGAAGGGAGATGTGTTTGGCCCTTACACATGTCCCCGCCCAGTTCTTAGCAACCTGGGATGCTCTGGCCAGAAAGGGGGCGGCAGGCACACTGCAAGCATTGTACAGCAGAGCGGCCATACCACTCTGCTGCCGCACCCCCACATGACCCAAAGAGATACAGTTTGAGGCAATAGCCCCAGGCTGGGTCATTATAGCCGTGGTGCTGTGTATAGCCCTGTGTATGCTCTGTTCTTCAACTTTATCCCATTTTATCTTTATATATTTGTAGATATAGGACCCCTATGTCTAGCAGATCTTTTACAAAGTATGGGCATTTAATTTAATTTTTTCATACTGCTATAATCTCTATACTATAGCAGTATATGTTGTGGCATATTTGCAGCCTTCAGCATGCTCAACGTATGGGCATCATACAGGGAATTCATTTTGTTTTCAACCAAATCATTTTACTTCTAAAGGCTGTATATTGAAAACAAAACCGTTCAGTGTGCTGGAAATATTCGATGGCACCTGCTACTGCTTTGCAGTGACTTGAGATATACACTGTAAGGTTTGATCATTTCTAAACCATAAACTATCTGCTTGTTGAAAGTGCTGTTGAATATGTATTTTACAAATATCTCATTGCACAAAATCAGCATTATCGAGTGGCAGGAAATCTTTTCCTCTGCAGAATAGCTGGGATTTTCTCAAACTCTTCCATTGGAACTAAAAGGACATAAGCTTCTGACAGGTTCCTCAGTTTCCAGTAACAGTTCCTCCATGCATTTAATTTGACATGCTTCAAATATGTATTCAGATACTATGGGTGAATAAGGTGTTTTCCAGCGGAACTACTCATCTAGCTGCTGCAATCAAAGAATCTGTTTTTACTGAAACTGAGCCTGGAGCATTATCAGTAAGGGTGGAATAATTATTGGGTATTTCCAGATCATCTGCTGTCTTTAAAATGGTAAGGACCCATCGATAGAAGTATAAGCTTTTCTGGAAAAAAAATAAGGCAACATGTGCTGTTAGCAATGGACCCAGGCTGAATGTGAAATATATAGATGTACCTAATGTATGAAACCTCTCATCATATAACTAGTGTTACCTGTACTCAAAGCACAGGAAAATAGTTTTATCTAGAGGTGTGATTTTCAGCTGCATGTCTGATAGGTCTGGGTAAACAGCAGTCCTTCTCAAGAAATACAAGCCACTCAATGAATTATGAGAAGGGTATGCTGGGGCATGCAGTTTCTCAGCGGCTACAGTGCAAGTAATGGCCTATGGTGATGCAAGGGGTCAAATCTGATGATCCTTTTAGATTACCTTGCTAGTTGGGAGAAGATTCAATCCTATAACAGACAGGCTAATAGTGTTCTTGCAAATAACTGAACTGGGCTCTGCAGAGAAACTCCAGGACTCCTTTAACAGATTACACTCAGAGGAGTGAGCTGACAAGACAAACACCCTCCAAGTGACATTAGAGTTCCAATAGGTGTCTTTAGTTGAAGAATGGCTGTATATTTAAAAAAAATGAGCTCCCCAAGCTTTTTATCTCCTCAATAAACTGTTTTAATAACAGTATTGACCTCAGATGCAGACTTGTCTTGCTTCACCCTGCAAAGGAGGCACAGGACCCAGCACTGTTTGCCTATCTCAACCTTTAGTTCTGTAACAATCCAGCCATAGCGAATAATGAACTAATGTCCGCACTGTTAATACACAATGTGATCAGTAGGGTTGGCATGGGTAGGTTAGGGGTTCTGTAAGAAACATGCTACCCATCAATAAATGGCAGAAATTAATTAGCAGCTGGGTGTTAATTCCTCTAATGCCTAGGACCAAGTCTTCTATCTAGGTTTTAAATTGTGAGCCCTACTACTGACCATTGAATCAAGAACATATCTGAGATCTACCTCACTTCTTTGTTTTAATGTTGCATACCCTCTCTGCACCCATGTAACAGCTGTGGGTCAACCACAAGGTACCAGCACTGTCGCAAAGTAGAGGAGGAACGTGTCACCTGCTTACCCAAACTTGAAAGTTCCACTTTTTTCTCTTCGCTCCAGGTAGGTGAATAGAGTGGCAGGGAAACAAAGGAAAAGTGAGTATATACTGCTTGGGAATGGGGGAGTTAACTGGCCCTTTTACTGTACCCTGAATGGGCAAAAACATAAATCTATCCAGAAACGTGGGTACTGAAAGGTAATGAAATCTGTAGTATCGGGCTTCAGATCTGAACAGTGGTTTATATAAGTAGTTTTAGTAGTTTAAGTAGTTTTGTAAACACATCAAAGAATCTTAGAGGGTCTTACCCTTCCAGACATCTCCAAAGCAGCCCTGTCCCAATTTTTTGTCTAGGGTGATAGAGTCTCTTGATATTTCCCAGGCATCTTTTGCTAGCCCCATAGTTTGAGGCCTCAGGTTGACACACGGCCTTTTTAATAACTGGCACAAACCATCGTTGTATTCTAAAAATAAAATACATTTCCATATTATCACTGGGTAAATTAAAAAGTATGAAACAAATCTTTTAGTTCCATTTTTTTCTATCTTGAGAACAAATGAAAAAACTTGAAATAAGACTAAGATAGAAAAGCCTCAGACTAGCAATACCAAATGTTACCACATGATGTCACCATAGTCATAGTTATGTACATCTCAGCGGTGCTATTTTTAGATGCCGATTGATTATATTCATATATTGCTAAATCGTTGTATTTTTGTATGAATGGAGATAGAAATAACTCATGTTGAAGGTGTTTTACTTAGAAATATACTTTGACAATGTTTAAAAAAACAAAAAAAATGATCTAATGAAGCAACATGAATCCGTTTATTTTTCACACACATTCTCACATTAACACAATACTCTTCTCCTAACCCCCTAAAACTCAGGGTTTTTTTGTTTTACAGAAGTTAAAATACAAGAAATCACAGATCTCAAACATTAGTACATGTTACAGATTTGCCACACAGCTTAAACTAGGCTCAGAACAGCCACTATACACGGCCCCCATATTTTGTCAAATTTGGACGTGCAAGTTCTACTGGTATAGGTTTTTTTTAAATTAGGCAGTATGTAATTTATGATGGTGACAAGAGTCTTTGGGGATGATTTACTAAAGAAAAATAGACTTTGCAAGATAATTTTCCATTAACTTATTGAATGAGGCACAGCTCTGCTAACTTCCAACATGCAATCATGTGCAAGCAAAAATCCTGTTTTTTTTCTTTTCTTGCTTTTGAATGGGTATTATTTGCAAAGGGAATTATCCCCACATTCACTAAACTATGGAAAAAATTCCTTTGCAAAGTGAACGGTAAGCCAGCAAAAAATTAGGTTTGTTTCGTTTTGGATTTTTTGTTATTTTGTTTTTCAGAATTCAGGTCTGAAAGTCAATTCATTTCGGGATTCAGATTCAGACGAATATGACATTTTTGTTAATTTCGGATGAGTTAAATGATATTTACAAATGAATTTTCGTTGCAGCAAAGTAACATTAGAAAAAAAATTATATTTTTCTTTTAATTTTCTCCACAGAAACAATAAAAAAAACAGTGTGTGCCCCCCACCCCCCAATTCATACCAGACCCTTTAGGTCTGGTAGGAACTTAAGGGGGGGGCCCCAACCCCCCCCCCAAATTTTTTTAAGTGTGGGCCCCCCCTAAAATCCCTTATCAGACCCTTCATCCTAGCAGCAGCCTGGCAGAGCAGGAAAGGGGAGGGTGCACCATACCCTGCACCATACCAGGCCGCATGCCCAGTCAACATGGGGAGGGTGCTTTGCCAGGCGATCTCCCATGTCGATTAGGACAAGGGCCCCTTCCCTGTAACCCTGGCCCTATGGATGTGGGAGTCTGTGGGCCAGGGAGGTTTATCTGAATCTAGATGCACACTTTTTTCGTTATCAAAAATTAGAATATGACCGGATTTGTTATTTTTTTGTTCGGAAATTCTGATTCATCTGAATGTCTGAATATGCAGAAATTTGTCCCAATTTCAATTCGAAACGAAAAGAATCCCACATGTTTACTATTTGCCTTTAGTAAATCAATCCCATTATGTCTGCTGTGGAGGTGTCCTTCCATTTTAGTAGGTTCACTGGCCAGTAGTTTAGTGTGTGTACCCATTATGTAGTTGTGCAGTATAGCAAGCAGATATTTTTCTGGACAGTAAGGTAGATAATAGCCAATAATTACTGTTGGTAAAGAATGTATTGCCAGAAGGATGATATTTTGGGACATGCCCAAAAACTGTGGAAAACATCTGCTGGTGTTGCAGAGCAGCGGTAGCATTGAGCAGAATGGGGGATTGCAAGTTTGAACATTTTATAGGGAGCATATTACAGTCTATGAGTAAAATAAAATTGTGAACTTTGAGTACTAATAACCGTAAGGAAGAAGGTTACTTCCATTTCCTCAATGTCCTCTTTTGTTAAAGATGGTATATCTCTGTGGGACCAAGCTCTTTTAGGTAGTGCAGGGGTCTAGGCTGGGTAGGAGCAGTGCTTGTTTGATTGTCAGAGAGTCAAGGATGGACTAATGCTCAGCGCGGTGAGGGGTTTGCACTTTTAGCAGCTGACAGGAGGTGAATGACAATGCAAGTCATGGGATGTTTGCACTGATTGGTGAATTCATTGTACCGTGCGCCCTGTGCTGTTTTAAGTTCATGGGCCCCTTTGCCAGTTGAAAGTAATAATACATAAGGGTCAGTGTATACAGACATTTGTGTTTTGCTTCTGACATAGATTTATTAAACATTTCTGCAGGATTCAAAATGTAGTGTCTAAATCCTAAATTGGATCATAATACAAATTATAGTATTTGTTAATTTGATGGTGACAGATAATATAGAAGCAGTGCTTCCAGGCACAGCAAGGGTGCATATGTATTGTGCATTCATTTGACTATCTTAAATGAAACTGTTACTGAGGACAATACAATAGCTGCCATTGCTGATCATTGTCTGGAAACAAAAATCTAAAGACTTGCATAACTGAAGAGCACTGAAGCAAAGACCTTTTTAAGCATCCCCATAGCCCATTTCCTCCCTGGTGTCTGGATGTCCAGGCAGCTGTCCATTCTGCACTAGTTATAATCTTGTATTAGTTGTGCTCCCCCTGCTGCTGGTGTGTCTAAGTGGGTGCCTTCCTGTCATCTCCGTTAGCCCAGTCATGCTCGTTTTTTTTTTTACTAACCTTTATAATACAGCACCAGTTCGTGCACAGTATCAAACTGGACACGTGTTGTAATGTAATACCCTCCATAATCAATCTTGCGGATCTTGTAATGCTTGACATGGTCTCCTTTCACGTTATCCAAATCACGGACAGAGAGTGAGAATGCTCCTAGAGCGGGAACACAAAAAGGTACACAACACAAGTAGTGAGTGAAAAAGCAAAGTACGTGAGAAATATGAAACACACGGTTTTCCCTGCTGAGCTTATGTAAAGTTATAATGTGCCAAATTTGTAGAAAACATCATTCCTATAAAATGAAAATGTAAATTCACCAAATCTCATGGGACCAACTAAAACAGGTAGGAGACTGTCTGGTTCCTATGTGCAACAAGAACTGCCCATCAACCAGACACTTTTTAGAATTAAACCTCTATATCTATAACAAATAAACTGCTCTTTCAGATAGGCAGTCCGATCAGGTTCACCTGTCAGTTTTTTAGGTGGACCAGTATTGGATGCCCAATATAATTCTATAGGCAGCAGATGGGCATGCATTTACACTTGGTTACCCCCGACTCCAGCCAGGTCCGGAAAAGCAAATGCAACAGTGTTCCGTTTTGCCAGACCTGACCGTGCCAGATCGGGGGTAATCGGATGTAAATGGGCTCATGTTCACTTACTTCAGATTTATCATAGACTGACATGGGGTCCGGTCAATTCAGTTTTTTCCTCCATCACAAGATAGAGGAAAACAAACTGGACCTACACAGATGTCACAGCAGTGACATCCGATCCGCACCACTCCGATCAGAATGGGAACCATGGTGTAAAAGAGGCCTTTGGTTGTACAGGCTGCAAAGATTTTCCTTTAAGCTGAACTCCAGGCAGATATAAAAGACACACATGAATGCAGTTCTGTACTCATTAATACACCATGAAATGCATTCTTTAGAATACAAGCAGTGTAAGTACCTGAATTTGATTTGGTATAAGCTTCTTGCAATCCCCTATACAGCAGAGCTCACAATAGGAGAGGGAGCAGCATCAAAAATAGTCAATCAGGTGTTCTGCAGTGCAAGGGGCATACTTACAAGAGGAGAGAGCAGAGTGACAAAGAAAAGCTCATCAGCGTGCTGTTTCTTCTTTCACTGTCCAGCAATAGTAGGTCAAGACCTGTGAATGTAACTAAATTGTAGCAAAGAAAAATCAGGTTCTCTGTCCTGGATGGACAGAAATATAAATCCTTTGGTAGGTAAAACAACTCTCATATATGTATTTCATCTGTGCATTTAGCTGTTAGCCTGGAGTTCGGCTTTAGGTCACCTGTGATTATAAATCGCCCTGATAACTGTATACAGCAGCTACAACGGTTGTCAGGGCAGTGGTCAATTGAGGTGTGTAGCTGCAGGCATTTCATATCTGACAGTATTTTTAAACAGCATCATTCGGCAGAGCTGACACATCTCTGCAGAATATTGAGCCTCTACGGTCAATAATAGAGTTACATAGCCCATTATGCAATCAATGTGCATTCTACAAAAACAACATTATTTTGAAAACATAACACACAAAGAATGGACAGATGGCGCTATGGTAAACATACAGAATCACAGCAATTTATATATTTATTAATATTACTGACATGAAAATGCTTAGAGAAAAATAGGTTTTAATAGTCACATTCCTGAAAGCTCTTTGAATCTCACTACTTCACCAGCCAGGGCTGTTATACACTTGTGGAAGTCCCCTTTCTTTGAATGCCACAGTACGCTCACTATAGCTCGGGTCAAAAGCTTTACATGCCTAGGATTTCATTCCTGCGATCCTGTCAGATAAGAAGATCTTCTCCCAAAAAACACTGCATGCCTGACAGGATCAGAGCATTTATCATTGACTTCCAAGGCTGCAAACCTCAGATCACAGAGGAATTTCAATTCTGTGATTTTTTTTTCATTTTAAAATAATTGGCATGCGGGGCGTATATGTGGTGTCCCTTCCACACATCAAAGCTTAGGATTCTTAGAAGCTATCTATACAATCCTCTCCTTAGGGCAATTTGGAAGACCATGACCCATCTAAAAAGAAGAAAGCTGAAAAGTCTACTGCACCTCTGCACAACCAAATACTTCCTGAGCTCTTTGCTGCATAACGAGCTTTAACACTGTATTTTCAGCAAATCCCCTCCTGATAGTAATGTTGTTTATGGAGCCATGCAACCACAGTGGTATATTACACTGCAGAGAAATATACTAGCGCATGTAAACTGTTGTTTAAAGAGAACCTTTGGGCTCACCTTTCCTTCTAAAGTGGCCCCGAACCCATGGAATAAACACCTGTTCACATGCTCGGGTTGTCTTTAGAGTACCCTGGAACCCACAAACCAACGGTGCACTATTATGCAAAAACTGATAAATAAGACCAATGTCATCTTGGAGTGATAGGGCTGTGCCCACGCCCTCTTTACCTTTCCTTTCCAAGCACAGATTGCTAGGATGCTGTTGGTCAGAACATAATTCCAGAAGTTTTGGTTGCTATTATGCTGTTGGCAGCACAGCATCCTTGGTTCCTATGACGCTGTTGGCTGCATTGCATCGGAGAAGTTAAAGCACGGTTACTCCCTCTAGTCACCTCAGCAAGTTGTTTAGAGGGACCAAGCCAGACCATGTCAGACACAGTGGAAGTAACTACCACTTCTGTGCCAACCACTAACTACCCCCCAGCTTCCTTCTTCATGGACATAGGAAAACTGGTAGAGAGCATTATAAAAATTTCCTCGCCATCTGTGAACTATGGCTACAGAAAGTTGAGAATCTTTTCTGGAGGGTTGTTGGCTAGCCTAGGACAATACTACTGGCCAGTAGTTTAGCGGGGGATAGATACTTTTAAGTAAAGATATTAATGTTGATTGCATTCAATCTAAGTATATTATCTGAGACATTCTGACATTGCAGGCTTTCCTGCATGCAATAGATTGCTGCTGCGTGTCAGATTACCTTATCCTGTTATTGGTTGTATTACAGGTGATTGGGGAGCCGTTAAGTGTTTGTTCTATTCCATAGTCATTAAATCTGTTATAAAACTTCACAAGGTGTGCTGGTGTGCTGTGGGTTCATTGCTTGTGGTGTGTCACAGAGGTGAAACAGAAGACCCGATCATCCAGCGGCTCCTTCGGGGGTGAGCGCTACACATCTTTGGTTGCTAGAATGCTGTTGGCTGCAGTGCATCCTTGGTTGCTATAATGCTGTTGGCAGCACAGCATACTTGGTGTCTATGACGCTGTTGGCGGCACTGCATCTTTGGTTGCTAGAATGCTCCTTGCTGCACTGCATCCTTGGTTGCTATAACGCTGTTGGCAGCACAGCATCCTTGGTTGCTATGACACCGTTGGCTGCACCGCATCTCTGGTTGCTATGATGTTGTTGGCTGCACTGCTACCTTGGTTGCTATCATGCTGTTGGCTGCACTGGATTCTCCGTATCTGGTGGTATTTGCTAATTAATTTGTCGCAGCCATAGCGAGCGTCATATTAGTAAAATGTTGAAAACAAACTACTTGAATTTTTCACACGTGTCGTAACAGACAAGGAAACCTTTGCAAAGCTTACATGAATTGGGCACTACACTTCCTTTTACATCAATAACACCAGAATCTGTTGCAAAGGCAATATTGAATCACCCCTAATGTGTTTTAAAATCTGAATCTTTTAATATGTCATCGCAACCAGCCAGATTCCAGATGTATAACTCCAGTAAGAAAATGAAAGGCAAGATTTGAATAGGTGCTATGGGGATAGTTACTTTTGTTTAGCTTTGGATTCTACACATAAGATGCAAGGCAAAAATGGAACTGAAGGAAATGATAACTCCACCACAATACAGAATCATTTTTAAAATTGGACATAAAGGGTCCAACAGGACCAAGTTCTCACAGACATTGTAAGAAAGAGGATGGAAATCCTCACACTTACGTGTATAGCGTACCCCTGAAAATACTTTTTCTTTCTCTCACTGATGCTTACGCTATTATAAGTGTGATACATACAGTACATAAAGGGATCTCTCTCTCTCTAATATATATATATATAAGTGTGTGTGTGTGTGTGTGTGTGTGTTCACTGTAACTGGGACTCACCCTTTGTAGTTTCACTTTCTCTTATCATGAAGCTTCCTTGTGTGTTTCCTTCACCCAGGAGTTGTCTTTCTGCATCTTTCCTGCCAAGTTTACCAAAATACCACCTACAATGAAGAATGATCATAACAGAATGTTATTGCTCCTAGTAAAGAGACAAAATGCTATTGTGCTGCATTTCCATAGACAGAGTCTAAGAAGCTTCCAAAGCCTTGCAATTGGACCCTCAGTCTTAGTTGATGTATAGATATTAGGCAGTCAGGCCTAGACACACTACAACCACTCTGGAGGCCGCAGAGCTTCAAACTTACATAGATACAGTACAGTGAGTGAGTGAGTGTTGTCACCCTTGGAGAGGATGTGTGTTTCTGGTAGGATCACCAGATGAAAATACAGACAAACATGTGAAAAAACAATAACTCAGCTACATCTAATGACAGGCAAGCTGCATTATATTGCATTTTGTTCTTGGGTTTAGATATAGTGGGGAAATTGAACATTGCTCTTATATCACTATAGTGATAAAAATAGAAAAAAATTGAGAAATGATGTGTGCACAAAAATCAGTTTTCACATCAGATTTTTTTGTGTACAGTTACAATTAGAGTTCATATAATCTTGCTCAAAAAAGGAATTCACAGTCCTACTGTTAATTTAGTCCATGGGGGAACACAGTGAAGTCAATGTGTATATAATATATGGGATATGGGCCAATGTATATACTGTACAACATATGTATAAAAGACTCCAGTGACCAATAAGCCAGGGATCCCATTGACATCGCATAGTCTGTGTTTATTATTTTGTAATGTGGGGATAAAAAGAAGACATGACAGCTCACTCTACACAAAGTTTCCCGCGCTCGCTGACAATCCTCCCCTCATAGTGCCAGGTGAGCCAGAAGCTGGATACAGCGAGCGTGGGCAAATTTAGATTGAGGGGAGGGGGGGTGCCAGAGTTTAGTTTTGCCTAGGGTTGCACAAAACCAAGATACACTATCGGTCATGTTGGGAGTGAGACTGTTGCACCACATTAATAATTTCAGTGCACTCATGCAAATATCTATAGGTGGAATAAATATAACTATCGGCAATTGGAAAGCCATCATGTTCATCACAATGAATCCAGCAGGTTGAAATGTTTTATCTGCTATTCCCAGGGTAATACAGATATGAATAGAATGTACACAGCAATTCACATTACTGATCCATATATATTAGTGATGATATTGCTCATAATATACAGAATAGATAGATCATATCTCTCAATGTATGGTTAGCTTTACAGGCTAATGCCTGGTCTGTGCAGACATAAACAGACTAATAATATGAACAAGTTTCAGATGTTTGCTACCTATTACAAAGCAGGAGATGTTTTTTTCCCATGCAAAAAATTAAAAAACGTAGCAGAAAATTATGCATTTTGGACATTTACATTCACTGCACTTACTCTTCAGCTTGTATTGAATTCAGTGGTGCGACATAGTTACTGGGAATATATCCTGTCTTTCCAGTGCGCAGAGATCGAGCCTCCCACCAGTCACCCTCACTGTAGAGAAAGAGGATGACATTTTAAAACAACAATAACATATTATTTTGGCTTATGATCTACAGATATGGAATCTTTATTTTTTATTTGGATACTTAGATTAAAGAAGTAAGGAATCTTTCTATACCTTGGAGCACCTACCTGACCTATGTTGTGTTCCTAGACAGCGTTACATCCCTATTGTTTAGCAGTACTCTGTTTAATTAGTGTAGGAAACAATACTTGTAGGAAACAATACTTGTAGTCGAATTGTCAAATTTAAAAGTCATGGGGGTTATTCACATAGGAGCTGAAGGATCCAGCCGTAGCTTCAGCTGATCCTTCGGCTGTTTTCAGCCGCCGGAGCCCTTCGGGACCGCTGAACCGAAGGGCTGCTGTACAGGCTATTCACTATAATTTTTTCTACTCTAAGACTCATTCTCACCACTGCACAGCAGCAGTATGCATACTATATTTATGGTCTTTTGCCCCTGCATGGTCTCATTTAAGTCAGTTGACTGGGATCCTTCATAAACATAAGGCACTACAAGGCAATAAGCATTACTAATGTGTGTTGATGTAAACCTTAGAATAATAACAGGCCACTGTGCTTATAGTGATGACAAGGAGACAGTTTGAGATTTTACGCTCCAGAAGAGATTATTCGCTCCGTAAGACGCACTTTTTTCCCCCCAAAAGGGGGGCAAAAATGTCTGTGCGTATTTTGGAGCGAATCCCTATTGCCCGACGCCCAGGACATGCAGTTTCAGGCACCGGGCGAGTAGCTTTTTGTACATTCAGCCCTGCTCCGGACAAGCAGAGCTAAATGTACAGTGGGAGTAGCTGCTTGTTTAATACAAGTGATCTAATCAGATCACTTGTATCAAATCGAGCGGTGGCAATCGTGTCCGGGCCCCCCCCGCCGTGGTTTTCGGGGTCCCCCGCTCCTCCGGTGGACCCGAGACCACGGCAGAACAGCTCAGCCATAGAGTGTAGAGCAGACGAAGAACGTCCGTTCTTCGTCTGTTCTGTGTGATCACTGAGACCGTGGCCCTGTAATCACAGCGCCACCTGTCTCAGCTGTCACTAACTGCAGCTGTCACAACCCTTCCCTCCCTGCGTCCTATGGCCAGGTGCGCCTTATGGAGAGCAAAATACGGTATGTTTCCTTTCCTGGATAGCATTATGAAACATTAGTGTGATTTCTTTGTAGCCAGTACTTTTCGGGGAAACACGGTAGGCTTAAAGGATATTTAAACCCTCAGCAGTTTTTGCATATATCTACTGCTAGCTAGCAAGCAGTAGATATATGCAAAAACATTTTAAAAAGTTACGAAAAATCTCCCCTCCCAAAATCTGAAAAATCTCGGGCGGCCGCAAAGGATCATGGGCGAGCGCATGCGCATGCACTGTACAGATCTTCGGCCGGGAGATGAGGAGAGACACAAGGTAAGTCAATGGAGGCAGCGTGCACCTGCACAGACTCCGTGGGACAGGAAGTGCCATGAAGAGCGAGGAGTCAGCGCTGAATCGGAGACCGGCACCAGCGCTGGAGGGACTCCTGAAAAACTAGTTCTGAAAAAAGTTCTAAAAAAAAGTAAGCAGTGCAATACGCTGGGTTCAGTAATTCGGCACTGTGCCGGGGCACCACACACCAGGCGCTGTGCGATTAGCGCAGCGTCTGGTGTGAATGGGCCCTTAAAGTTTGCATAAACTTTATCAATGAACATGTATTAATTGCTTCCCTTTTGGTCTACCTCCATTGAAAACATATTGCTATAGGTGCTTAATATGTACCTAAAAATACCTGTTAATCCTGCCGGACAATTTGTAATATAATAATTTCCTGTGTTCTCTGACTGTGCTTAACTCATATGTGCAACATTGCCAGCTCTCTATATATAAGAGAGCGCGCGCGAGAGATAGAGAGAGAGAGACTATAACACACCGCCCCTGTAAGCTGAAGAGAGGGAGAAGTATTCTGTAGTGCTGCCCTAAGGTGATATTGCTGCTCCTTCTTAGATACAGCAAAGTGAGTGAGCATTGTCACCATAGGATAGGAAATGTGTTACTGCGGTAGCAGGATCACCAGGTGATAAAGAAAATAGAGGAAGAAAAAAGAAAACAAATGCAGCCAACATCTAAGGACTGGTAATCTGCAATGTAATAAATGATTTCTTTTTAAATATGCCTTTTGCTCTTCCACATCCGATAGTCTTTTACTATGCGCATACATGACAAATGATTACATTATGCTTAGGCACACATAACATCACATACACTTATTTAATAAATTACATACGCATTGTTTATAATGTGGAATTTCTCTCCCTTTACAAATGTTAAGTCTTCCACAGTCCGTGAATCATAATTGTACAATGCAATAAAAGTGGTTGCTCCTCCTAAATAGTAGAAAGAAAACAAAACAACTTAGAATAAAATTGTGCATTTTTAAAAGTAAATTTTGTTACATTTTGTGTAAATATGATAAGTACTTTTCTATATGGAGAGAGTAAAGCTGGTCATACCCTGGCCATTTGTTCTTCTTCAGCTCCATGAACTGAATGAGAAAAAATGCTGGATTCCCCCATCTACACTAAACAGCGTGAATGGGGAATCCCCCCCCCCCCCTCCCGTGGGGATATAGTATTCTGACAGCGGCAGGTGTGCTGCTTAGCTGCAGTATCCTTCAGGCCTCACATTTTCAGATGGCTTCTTCAACAAAAGTCAACTGTTCTGACGGGTTACACAATGCTCACATTTTGGCCAAAATTCAAGCAGTGTATGGCCGGCTTAACAGTAGCATGCCCTCTGACACATCTCTTTACGTCTTTGTGTAGTGATCACATGGTATAGGTATAAATTAATTAGGCTTCTTACCTGAGGATGCATTGTACCCAAAACTAGGTTGTACTCCTCCCAGGAAAGATCCATCCATGATGCATACTGACTTATTGACTGGCAAGTTGAACTCATAGCTTGGGCGTGCTGTGGTGGGGTCTGGATAATAGCGTTGATTAGGAACCCCCTGCACATCTATTTCCTCTGTTTTTTCTTCGGTTGTTTTTTTGCACTGTGCACAGCCCATCACCTGCACAGAAAGTATTTTTATAGTAAATAACCATCAAAAGTGGTGTCCCCATATACAGGTGTAGCACAACCAAGTGCCAATAACATTGAGAATAATGTGCAAGATCTCTTGCAGTCACTGCAGTCATAGACTGAGATTTACAGGTGAAACTCGAATAATTAGAATATCGTGCAAAGTTCATTTATTTCACTAATGCAACTTAAAAGGTGAAACTAAAATATGAGATAGACTCATTACATGCAAAGCAAGATAATTCAAGCCGTGATTTGTCATAATTGTGATGATTATGGCTTACAGCTCATGAAAACCCCAAATCCACAACCTCAAAAAAGTAGATTATTACATGCAATCAATAAAACAAGGATTGTACATAGAACAATATCGGACCTCTGAAAAGTACAAGCATACATATGTACTCAGTACTTGGTTTGGGCCCCTTTTGCAGCACTTACTGCAATTACTTTTGCACGATATTCTAATTATTCGAGTTTCACCTGTACTTCTCAGGTTTCTGGAACCTGGTAGGGATCAAACCATGCCTGAGTCCAATCAAAACAGAAAAAAACCCCTTTTGGGTTGACTTAAAGTAGTATTAAACTTTTTCAATAATGGATCCACATCTAACAAATATACATTGCCCACCAAAGTATTTATTTAAATTTTTGCCAATTACAAAGTCATCATGTCTCTAAATAGCCGGTTCCAACTCTCTGAGCTCTGCTTCACTGAACTTCCTGTCCAGTACAAGAACACAAGGGACAGCACAATACCCAGCAACCTTCCATCTAATAGCTTGGAGGAGGAAAGAAGGAGCAGGAGAGGGGAACAAATAGTAGGGGAGGGAAGTGGCTTGCCTTGCTGTCCCTGTGTGTTTGTGGAGACACACACAGCTTACTAGCACACACAAGGGTGGCTCCATAGGGCCCTGCAAGAGAAAGGAGTCACCCTAAAACAGGAAATCAGGACCAGTGCTCAGAGACAGGTGATTTTGCAGGTAACTAAAATTGTTAAACATCAAGAAACAACATCCATTGTAAGCATTTGAAATAGCTTACAAACCTTTTGACTATGATATCACTTTAACCATTACAGCCCAACATTAAAAAAAAAAACCTTTTATGATTTGTTAAATCCATAACTTATTTTTGAATTACCTTGCTGTTACTAAGCCCCACTAAGCTGGTACCAGAAAGTACAGGGGGAGCCACACTTCCGGCTCCCCGCTGCATTGGAACAGTGTCTGTGATAGACACCAGTAACAGTATTGTGCCTCCCCGCCTTTGCACTGTTCTGCCATTCACAATGAACAAAAAAGTGATAACGCTGCAGCTGTGCTTTATGAATGGCAGAGCAGAAGGAGGGAGTGCAGGCACTATACCGAATTTGGTGTCTGTCATAGACATTGTTCTGATCCAGCAGGGAGTCTGAAGGACGGCTCCTGCTGTACTTTCTGCCACCAGCTTGTTGACGCTTAGTAGCAGCTATAAATGTCAAAAATCAGTTCCAGTTTTAACAAATATTAGAAAATATTGAAAAAAAATGTAAAATACACACAATATGTCAGTACCCGCAACAAAAAGAATACATCAGCCAATTGAAACATTTTACTTACGGGTAAGGACAAGGTCAGAAGTCATATGAAGCACATCACCAAGTCCACCAGGTAAAGTCTGCAAAACAGAGTTTTAAAATTAAGAACATTGTATATCTAAATCCAAGAGCATAACTGTAATATATTGCCTTTTGCCAATTCTAAGGCTGGGTTCACACCTGGGCGTTTTTCAGCAAGTGAAATCCCATTATTTCCTATGGGCATGGTTCCCACCTGGGCGTATTTTAGCGCGTTGAAACGCGCTGAAAAACGCCCTACGCCCAAACAAGTACAGGAGCTTCTTTTGGGGCGTATTTCCGCGCGTATCCATTAGGATGCAGCCGTATAGTTCTCGTAAATGCACGCTTCGTGGACCGCAAATCGCTGTAAAAACGCACGGCTCGAAACGCGCATTATACGCGCATATTATGAACGCCCAGGTGGGAACCTTAGATGTAGTAACTGCAGTAGTTTTATCAAGCTTTCTTTTCTGTATTTGGAGGAGCAGCGTTGTCACACTAGGACAAGAAGTTATTAGTACTAGAGAACACCTCTCCTCACCTCCAGTACAAAGGGAGGAGATGCTCTGTAGTTTACAGAGGAGAACTGGGCATGGTATATGACATTGGACAGCACTGGATTTCTGGCAGAATCAAATTATTTTTTGAACTTATCAAACAGATATAACAAAACACATTTAACTGTATATTTATTAGAATTAGACCAAAAGTGAGCAAATAAGGTCCCTTCCATATGGGTGGTCCGATCGGGTCTGCCTGTCAGTTTTTTTGCATGTGGACCTGATCGGATACCCAATGTAAGTCTATCGGCAGCCGTGTCCGTTTACACCCGGTTACCCCTAATCCCGGCCAAGGTCCAGAAAAACAAATGGATCAGAGATCCATCCTGCTGGACTTGATCGTGCCTGTTTGGGGGTTATCTGATGTAAACAGAAGGGATGCACTGATACTGATATTGGTATCAATATCGGTGCTGATACTGAGCATTTGGGCGAGTACTCGTACTCGCTCAAAAGCTCTGATACTTACGCCGATACAAGAACTTCCGCCTCCCGGTTTCCTGATTGGCTAGGAAGCTGGCTTTACGCTGCCTAGCAACGCTGTGAGGCAGCCTGGCTTCCTGACCAATCAGGAAGCTGGGTGGCAGGTCATGACCCACCTCCCGGGTTCCTGATTGGCTAGGAAGCCGACTTCACACTGCCTAGTGACACTGCGAGGCAGCCCGGCTACCTGACCAATCATGAAGCCTGGCGGCAGGTCATGAGGGAACGTGAAGTCGGTGTTTTCTTGACAGAACACCGGCTTCCCAGGCAATCAGGAAGAAAGTATCGGCGAGTACAGAAAAAAAATATCCGAAAAAACGGTATCGGTGCCACCCTAGTAACGGACACATGTCTGTTTACATCCAATGTCCATAGACTGACATTGTTTCCGGCAGTTTCAGTTCTTTCCTCCATCGCAAGGTGGAGGAAAAAATGTACGGACACGGATGTCAAGTCAAGTTAGGACCAAAAAGGACAATGTTCTGTGTGATCCTAGCAGAGGCGGTTTTCTTTTGGCATCAATGGCTGTGTGCCTACTGACTGCAGTGTTGGAAATCCGGCCCTAATTTTATTATTGATTATTTTAAATGTACCCATCTTGTCTTTCTGTTGACTCCCTTTAGTTTGTTTATTATTACACTTTTTCACTTTGGTTAGTTTCTCCTGCTGTTTTTACGACTATCACAATCCACAACTGATTTTCTAAGGTGTAATAGAAGACCCTTCATTGCTCTATATGTCAGCCACTTAACCTTTATTGAATATAAATAATGTCAGCTTTTACATTGCTGCAAGGTCTGCGTAATAACTTTAGTGATAATTTTTATTCTTAGTAAATTGTAACCTCTTCCTTCCTGCTTAGACTGACATGGTCATTTACTTCCTCAATAGTTTGGGGCTGGGGCTGACAAGCTGTCTCTTAAAGAGAAAGTATAGTGTATTTGAAGCGAACATATATTTTAGTGTTTTATCCTAAAATATTTTCTTTATCATCTATTGAGGGACATGTAGTAATTGTTGGACATGTGGGTTATATGCCTACAGGAGGCAGGCACTGAAAACCTGTTGAAGACAAGCCCCCAATAACCCTGCCCTTAACCATTATACCTCAGTGTTTTTGTTAGTGTCCTAGGAGGTTGGACACTTTCTCCTTAGCTCTGCTGAAGTTGCATTCTTCCTCATTTTTATTTCACCACCCTCTCCAGCTTTACTACCTCAGTCTGACAGCTATACCAGATCTACCAGGCCTCCTACCTCCATCTCTGACTTTGTCAGTCTGTGCAAGATTCATTAAAAAATCTTCTTGCAGATATTCAGAACGTTCCACTGCTACCTCTTCAGTAGCACATACTTCTGTCCCTATTGGCACTTCACCTGTAAGTTTGCCTGAGGCTATCATAATTTCTGGCTCTGATCCTTCACTGCCTACTCCTGTGGGATCTGTTATTAATGGGTCGTTAAAAAATCTGAAATGCTCAATATTATGTCTAATCTGATTAATGCAGTACGCCTGTGAAAACTTTCAAGAGCTTCCTGTCCTATCATGGCTTCCTCCTGAACATGTTAAACAGTTTTTTTTCCCTGGGATAGGGAATTCCTTGACAAATGGTCTCTACTTTTGGTGGACAGTCCTTCATCTTAATGGACATCTCATCACCTTGGTGAATAATGCCTTTGGATTTACTGAGGCTCAGGTACAATCCTTGTTCAAGTAACAGTTTGAGATAATTAAAATGTCCCTCTGCCAACTGCTGGTAGGGACTTTAAGTTGTGAAACCATGACTCAGTGATGCAAAACTTTTTTAATGAATTCCTCAAATCATGCAAATGCATGAAGCTCTTCACTCCAGCTGTGCTAGCCTCTTTCAGACATCTAAGATAGCATCTTGCATGGCAGTCATAGCTGTCCATATATGTAGGGAACTGTAGCTATGTGCCTGGGACGTAGAGGATATGTTTAAACAACATCTTATTCACTTGCCTTTTTATGGAGGGCATCTCCTTGGTCACATTCTTAACAGTGGCATGTCCTAGCCTCTTGATTCTTGTTCTTGATGCCTGCTTTACTGTAGGATATCTGTTGATAACGTAGATGAAGTGCAGGCTTTGTAGCCACAAACCTTCATGCACCCACTTTTACCAGTGGGATATTTTTTCTCTGTTTATTTGGAAATGATACCTTTCAATTTAAATACTCAGGTTTTCACCTGCAGCTTCAATTCTGGATGTTGTAACCAGGTGTCTATTCATTTGTCTTTTTTTTGTCTAGCAAGCCATCCTGACACTGGGTGTGCTCACTGGCTAGGAAGGTATTCAATTCATTTAGGTGGCAGGTGCTGTGTC